GTGGGCAAACTTTTTGACTCGAGGGCCACAATGGGTTCTTAAACTGGACCGGAGGGCCGGAACAAAAGCATGGATGGAGTGTTTGTGTGAACTAATATAAATTCAAAGTAAATATCATTACATAAAAGGGTACGGTCTTTTTTTTTTTTTTAGTTTTATTCATTTCAAAGGGGCCGGATCCGGCCCGCGGGCCGTAGTTTGCCCACAGCTGCACTAAATACATGGCCAATCTTGTTTCATCTATACCTTCCCTTAATTCCCCCACACTGGATTATTTTGAAGCACATCCCAGATACTGTATTATTTTACCTGTAAATATTTTAGTTTATGAATATGATTTCTCAAGGTTGTGTTTGTAGTGAGAAACCTTGAGGGATGAGGTAATGTCTGCCGTGAAGACACAATGTCTACCTTGCTTACTTACTTCTGGTTATAAAATAGTACATTCCCCAAACTCGGAGTCCCTCTCCTATAACACAATTCACTGCCTATGCAGGCATCCATCTGGGCCCTCAGCAAAACTCAGCATTCCCCCCAATGGGACTAGGGAGCAAGAAGAGAACCAAGATAACATCCGTGCCAAGAGTAATAAAATCATTTGTCTCTGATCCAGATGTCTGCGTCTTCCCAGGAAACCATAACTTTCCCAGAAGTGACAGGGAAATGGCCTGCGGCAAATCCCATGTATCCCTCAGCAGTGGTATTTCCTTGTCTGAAAAGAGATGCTCATCATATATATAAAACAGTAACTTCTATTGCCACCAGCCCCCAAGCAGATAGCTAATCTGAAGCAGTTAAATTCTCTGGAAGGCATGGGGTGGGGCTACTCATGGCAAACACCGGCCAATTCAAAATAAATGACTGGTCCAAGCCCCCATCCAAATGCAAAAGGAAGCCTAGTGTTGGTTGACCTGTTTGGATTTAGGCAAACTATATTCCACACATAGGGATCTACTATTGAGCCCAATCCACCAAGCAACCAGCAAGAAAATAACTTTGTGCTCATCTCGTGGTTACAGCGGAATGAAAAACTGGGCAATCATGAGATACTTTATATAAAAGTTTAGATATTTGCACTCAAACTTGCTGTGGTTTGTAACTTGCTAATTTAAATTCTCTGGGTTTGTTTTATGTAAGATTGAAAATTTCTTGGGATAGGCCAGTGATGGCGAACCTATGACACGCGTGTCAGAGGTGACACGCAAACTCATTTTTTTGGTTGATTTTTCTTTGTTAAATGGCATTTAAATATATAAAATAAATATCAAAAATATAAATCTTTGTTTTACTATGGTTGCAAATATAAAAAAATTTCTATATGTGACACGGCACCAGAGTTAAGTTAGGGTTTTTCAAAATGCTGACACGCCGAGCTCAAAAGGTTCGCCATCACTGGGGTAGGCTATAAACATCTGGTATGCAGGGATTTCTAAATGTAATGTGATATAAAACCAATGAAATGCCCGGCTGGCGTGGCTCAGTGGTTGAGTGTCAACCTATGAACTAGAAGGTCATGATTCGATTCCCAGTCAGGGCACATGCCCAGGTTTCAGGCTCGATCCCCAGTGGGGGGCGCGCAGGAAGCCAGCAGCTGATCAATTATTCTCTCTCATCATTGATGTTTCTCTCTCTCCCTCTCCCTTCCTCTCTGAAATCAATAAAAATATATTTCGAAAAAAACTACCAATGAAATAAGATTACACACAAACATACAATGCCTTGTATGAATTAGTTCTTGTGTAAATCAGACAATACTATAAACCAGAAAAATTGTTCCATGTCAACTTTTAAAAAAAATATATTTTATTGATTTTTTACAGAGAGGAAGGGAGAGGGATAGAGTTAGAATCATCTATGAGAAACATCGATCAGCTGCCTCCTGCACGCCCCCTACTGGGGATGTGCCCACAACCAAGGTACATGCCCTTGACTGGAATCGAACCTGGGACCCTTCAGTCCGAAGGCCGAGGCTCTATCCACTGAGCCAAACCGGTCAGGGCCCATGTCAACTTTTTAGGTAGTTAAAAAAAAAAAATCTTTGGCTATTCTTGATATTATTTGAATTGTGTTTGGGGACATTTTTAATTGGCTTTGGAAAGTTAAACTAATAAAATACTGAGTTAATGAATATTTCTGTTAGTTAATAATCATATATGGCATTTTGCTTATATGAAATTCTGAGATAGTGTCTAGTGTTCCCTTGGAGGGAAGCTAGAAATTTTTTCTTTTTAGGCCACTGGGGTGCTAGTAAAATTGACATAAGGTAGTCTGGATTTGCATATTCAGGAACCAACTCCAGATGTTTAAGCAGAGGGTAATAAAATAAATACATGCTTTAATAGGGCAATATATAGCATAGCACATTAAAATCTGTTATGGGAAAAAATTGTTTTCCTATAAGAAGAAGATGAAAAGAAATCGAACTATATCAGAAATTACTATGACCCCAGGAATTTTACTTTTTCTCTGCCTTAAAAGAAATTCTATCCAAGGGCTCATGTAAAGCAATGTAAATTATATCCCTAGGACCCTATCTTGGTATCTAATATTATTCTTCCACTTCTGAGATAATTTTAATTCCTAATTCTCCTTTGGGACACATATCTGTCTTATCCTCTGATTGAGGTATGCCCCCAGGCTCTCTCATCTTAGTTACCAAACTATGATGAAAGCCCCCCTTTTTTAAAAGATTTTTTATTTTATTGATTTTTTAGTGAGAGAAGAGAGAAACATTGATGAGAGAGAGTAACATCAATTGGTTGCCTCCTGTAGGCTCCCTACCAGGGACTGAGCCAGGAACCCAGGCATCTGCCCTGTCCGGGAATCAAACCAGCAGCCCTTTGGTACATGAGCCGATGCCCAACCAACTGAGCCACACTGGCCAGGGCTGATGAAAACACTTTTAATGTTAAATTTGTGACCAAATCTACCTTCCTTGAGGATTAAATGACTTTATATATTTTTTAGAAAGCTGTTCCAGAGTTTCATGAAATCCTTTGTAGATTCTAGTTTCCTGGACTCAGATGTTGTTAAATTATATTTCCTCCAGGACATGTTGTAACCTAAGCACAATCTGCATGTCATTGTGTTAGAATTGTGTTACTTTTATCAGGCAGAGGAAGGGCCAACACAAGGTAGGTCAGAGAGGAAACAGCTATGCTCCAAGCAAAAGCAGCCTTCCTACCTCCTGTAAATCCCACCCAGACCTCTCTGGCAGGATGAAGCAAATACCACAATTTAGACCCAGACTGCCATCTTTACTTAGGGAACTTCCCATTAGACAAGTGTTTTAATTCTTCCACATATGGATACATTTTGTGAGGAAAAAAAGGAATAAGAATTACCTTATTTGAAGAATAAAGACAAGGAGGAGGAGGAGGAGGAGGAGGAGGAGGGGGAGAAGAAGAAGAAGAAATT